TCCCACGTGTTGGTACCGTTGCCGCAAGGCGTCTTACGGGTGGTGATCCGCAGCCTGCGCGTGGGGAGGCGCACCGGGCCGCGCAGCTCCACCTTCTCGTTGCGGGCGTGCAGCAGCAGCTCCGTCATCACATTCTCCACCGCCTTTGCGTTGCGGCTCGTCATCTTCACCAGCACGCGCTGCGTCTCCTGCACAGGGGCCTGGTCCTTCTTAACGTAAGCCATTTGCTCGTGATCACACCTGCGGGACGCAACGCAAGGGGGCGAAGCAAACAAGTCAGAAACAAAAAACAACAACAAACAGGCAGAGAAGCGTATCGAGAGAGAGGGGGCGGGGACAAAAAGGCCCAGGGAGCAAAAGGCCTGTATGGGGGGCCACACACACACACGCGCAGAAACGCTCCTTCTTTCTTTAAAAAAACACCGGGGACATTTTTTTATCCCGCTCCTCCTGCGAGAACATCCAATCCTGCGGCGGACTCTTCACCGTTCCATCCGACGAAAATATGAGCTGCTCCGTGCCTTTAGCCTTCCGCTTGAGTGCCGCCCGGTACGCCGTGTCGACCACGGGATCTTTGTGGCCCTTCACGCGCTCGTACGCCGCCAGGACCATCTCGAGGATGGACTCCGGCAGGTCAAAGTCCTCAGGGTAGGGTCGAACCACTTTGTCCTCCAGCACGCGCTTCTCCTCGTAGCGCGAGATGCTCTCAAAACGAGCAAAACGCATAAGGACGGCATGCCACTGCTCGCGCAGGTACGCAGCCTCAATAAGTAGGCGCATCTTGTCAAACGTCTCGGGGCACTCGCGCTCGCGCATTTCTTTGTTAAGGTGATCAAAGTTCTTCCAATCCCGCCGCCGCATGCAGCAACGCAAAAGGGCAAGGTATACGATTATTCCACAGTTCTGCATGACTGGCATCTGCGCAAATCGCTGGGCCTCTGCAAAGGAGGCGCATGCCTCAATACGAGCCGCAAGCGCCAATCGATACAGCTGCGCGGATATCGGTCGATTTTCCTTCCGCATAACGTCGAGGATCCGTATGGCTTCCTCCCACCGTCCGGCCATGGCACAGGAGCGTAGCGGGGATTCGTAGTCCTGCTGGTACATCGTCACCCCGTTCTTTCTCATCGCATCGAAGAGGGAGACAGCGATGACCCACCCGCTGGGCTGCCGCTTGGGATCGGCTCTCTCCGTCGCGACGCACTCTTCGCAGGCAACGAGCGCCAGGCGGACGCTGCGCTCATCCGGCGGGGAGCGGGTGGCAATCATCTGCTGCATCTCCCCCACCACCTGGGCGTACTTCCCGTGTCGGTAGCACACACGAATTGCCGCGTCGTGTGCCTCGGGCGGTATGAGGACGTTCTGCTGGCCGCAGCGGTGGAGAAAGCGCAGGCACGGCTCCCACGCGCCGCCAACCTCCCACAGGCGGGCCAAAAGCTCCACCATAACGGGCGTCAAAGCATTGTGCCGCGAAAACCACGCATGGTCCCGCTGCAGCGCAAAAAACTCCCCCAGCGCCACCTCCCACGGTGGCGCGGCATCGTTTTTCATGTCCCCGCCCGGCGCCGTCGCCGGGTTCCCGTCGCCAGGGCCGTTGGGGCGGCGGTTCCCACGACGGCGCCGGGACGCCGCTAACGCGGCGCGGAGGTACTCAGTTGTGAGATCCACGCTAACAACCGGCACGTGCTTCGCGTTGCTCGTCAGGAGCGCCGCGTCCCGCTTCCACAGCCGCACAAACTGATCGTGGGCCTCACCGAAATTCCCGCATTCCGCACAAGCGGCCATGAAGGCCACGTGCACCTGCAGCGAACGCGGCTTGTGGATTTCCCGGTGAAAATCGGTGTAGAGGTTCCGCGCGACGTCCAGCCTTCCCCGAAGGCCGCAGCGCCGGATCGCGTCACACAACATCTCGCTGCTTGGAACAAGATTTTGACGCGCGGCATCTGTGAGGGCTGCAACACACGCCGCCCACTGAGAAGCGTGCTGGTGCTGGCCAAGAAACGCCCTGAGCTTGGCAAGCCTCGCGGCATCCCGTCGAGCCAACAGCTTATCGCTGCGCAGCTTGCTACTCACGAGCTCCGCGTACCCAACTCTCTTGTGCATTCGCAGCAATCAGCGACGCGCCGCACGCATGAACACAACCGCCGCCAACAAAATATATTTTGCCCTTCCAAGCAGTGGCTTGCGACGGCAGTGTCAGAAAAAAAAAGAGCACAGTGGAGCAGCAAGATACAAAAAGCAAGCCGTGCGGGGAGGGAGAAGCAAACACCGGCAATGAAGCCGAGACGACACCGCAGCTCACCCTCTTCCCAATGCGGCTGCGGGGAGGCAAGACGGCGAGGGGGTGCGTGTCCACTTGAGTGGAAAAAGGAAGAAGAGAAAACAGAGAAAAAAAAAGATTAATATAATCGGCGTGACGACGCTGGGGGAAAAGAGAGTCCCTTCCCGCCAGATGGCGTTATGATGCGGCTGCGGCGCGGTGGCCCGCCTCCCCTCCCGCGGGGGCGGACTACTGGTCGTGCGGGATCGTGATGGCGACGTCCACGCCGGCGTCAATGGGGAAGACGTGATCTTCTTCACCAGCTCCGTCGGCGCGCGGAGCTCCACGAGGCGCTTGTAGATCTTCAGCTCGTACGTGTCCCCACGTGTTGGTACCGTTGCCGCAAGGCGTCTTACGGGTGGTGATCCGCAGCCTGCGCGTGGGGAGGCGCACCGGG